TAGATATAACTGATAAATATTAATATATATAGTTAAAAAAACCTATGAGGCCACAATGAACATCAAAAGAAAAGGACATAAATATATTACACCTATTTATAATATTTTATAAAAAAAATAACATAATTTTAAACTAATATTTTTACTTAATTTTTTTTGTAGATATAACTGATAAATATTAATATATATAGTTAAAAAAACCTATGAGGCCACAATGAACATCAAAAGAAAAGGACATAAATATATTACACCTAACTCTATCACCTACACTAATTTTTTAACCAAAATATTAATTTCTTGCCTTCAGCATAGACCAATAGATTTGATTAATGAAATTTAAGGTCATAATTTCTCTTTTGTATCAAATATTTATGTACATTTTATATTAGAACCAAATGTGATAATGATGCTACTGATGTATTTAAGTTTCAATTTTAATTTTAATATAAAGAGATGATTTGGTAAATTTTAAAAAGTATTTATTTTAAAAATATTATTCTTTATAAATTTAGAATTTTATTAAAAAACATTTAAAATTAACTTTTTAAATAAATTTTAAAAAAGTTATATATCAAATTTTTTTGAAATTTTATTTAAAATTTACTTTAAAAAATAATTTTTAAAATCTTTTTAAAAAATTTTAAACATATAAAATATAAATAATATTTTTAAAATAAATACTTACTTTTTAAACTCCACATAACCGTCTCAAAAAACCGTCTCAAAAGTAGATCAACTTTAGACTTCAGCAGCACGTCGAAAAGAAAAAACACAACTTTAGACTTTGGCAGCATTTGCTGTTTTGGATTTTGAGCGTTTCGCTGACTAGTTCATTTTGACGTAATTCTCCTCCAATTGGCGAATCCTATGGCCCAAAGTCGGTGCTCCCGAAACTTCCGAGAAACCAAACACTTACAACCAGTACTTTCCCACATACCCGATTATGCCATTGTTTGATTTTTTTTGTTTTTTTTGTTTTTGTTTTTTTAATTATATAATAAGAGTAAGGGGTAATCATACCCTTTTTTTTTATATATATTTCACTTAACTTCACGTAGATATCATATAATTTAATTTTAAGGTCTTTTTTAATAAAAAAATTATTATTAATTTATTTAAACTATTGTCATGCCCTATTATGCTATTGTTTGATTTCAATTACAATTTTTGTGAAGAGGTTATCAGAAAAAATAGAACATAGTGATATTAAAAAAAAATAATGTTAAAGTATAATTATAGAATGAGTAAACTATAATATAAATTCTATTTGTTATATAATTAAAATTTAACATCATAATATTTTTAATATTAAGACATTTTCATTTTTAATTTTTTTATCTTTGTTTATATTTTATTTGAGTCGAGTTTTTAAAAAAAATGAAAATTAATTTTTTGTTTGGATTAATGACACAAAATACATTTGATAATTATATTCAACAATTGATTATTATATATATATTTAATATGTACATTATATGCCAGTAATATTGTTGATTGTCTTTTATAAAATATCTGTAAAATATAT